ACGAGCCTCTCTCGGGTGCCCCTCCGCGCCCTGCACCCACTCATCCCAGCCCTGCAGGGCTGCTGATTTGGTGGGGAGAAGTCACCATTGTCCCCGGCCGATGCGGTTCAGTGGAGCAGCGAGGGCTCCGCAGCCCGGCCCTGCACCTGCATGGGGGCACTGCATGTAGGGACAGGAGTTGGGGGGGACCGGGGGTCTCATCACCTTCCCTGGGGCTTCCCAAGGCCTTTTCCAGCTCCAGGGCCGGTGCACCCAGCCCTGCCCGGGCTGCAGGACGCTTTGCCCTGCAGCATCGCCGCGCTGCTGGAGCGAGATGGGGACCACGGGCCTGGCTGCAGAGCAGCAAGCCCGTGAGTCCGATGCTCGGTGCTGGGAGCGCGGAGAGCAGCCCCATGAGGCAATAGCGCAGCGGGCTCTGCTGCGGGCAGGAGCAGCGGTGGTGAGGCAGGGGAGCAGAACCAGGGGGCGGCGGCGCCCCACAGCCTGCCCTGGCGTGGCTCCACCGGGATCCCCTCCCCGTGGCAGGGACTTTTAGGCTTGCCGCCCCCACCAGCCCCTGGCAGCCCTGCAAGGCTGCCCGTGGCCCGCCAGACCCAGCTCGGGGACAGCTTGGCCTCTGCTTTCAGGCAATACACGGGAAAAAAAGCCACCTTAGCTCTACCTCAGAGACCACGGAGGGAACCTGGGTCTGAACGGGCTGTTGCCTGCACTTGTGGGTTGGGTTTTCTTGCTGATTAGGGAATAGAGCGGTAATCTTAGGATTATACTTTGTGACAATGTGCTTCAAAGCAAAAGCAACTCCAGCACTTGCAGCGGATAGATGTTTTGCAAGACAAGTCATCGGGCCTTTAAATAGTTGTGGCACATGTGCACATGTTAAGATAAAGCAAGATAGCACTGTGATGTAACGTTGCAGCAAGGCGAGTGCAAAGGAAATCATGTTCAACCAGGCGAAGACGCTCTCAGCTTATTATGGAGTTGTGTGTACCATATATAGTTGACCAATTAGTATGTAAATTAGTTTGCTTGAAGAGCAAAAGGGTGTTAAAGGCAGGCTTTTTGGAGGTGACACGTGCCATTCCTCTGTCTTGTCTGCTGGCTGAACTCACTTGGTAGCAATAAAGAGACATAGCTTCTATTTTGTTTGCTCTTTTGTGGTGCCACCAAGAACAAGAACTCAAAGGCATGTCTGTAACAGTCCTAAATAATAACCAGGAATTTCACTGAAATGGTTTCAACCAAGACGACCACTCTGGGGCCACCTGAAACCTGGGGCTGAGCCAGGTCTGAGTCGTGGTCCCCGAGGGACACAGCTGGATCAAGAGGTCCACCTGGAGCCCCAGAAAACGTGCGCAAGCTAACGCCAGCCTCTGGGGCTGGGCTTCCTTCCCCCTTCAAAGAGCATCTGAGAGACAGAAGCAGCAGCCCAAGGCGCTAGGACATTCAGTTTTATTGAACACTTTAAATAAGCTGGGTTTATATTACTAGCAATTATTATTATTATTAATAATAATAAAAAAACACAAGAGTTTTGCATTCACCAGTGCATTGTGTGGGAGGCAGGGAAGCCGGCTCCCACCCTTGCTAGGGCCTGGGCGGCTTGGCCGTGCGCCACACCGGAGCCCCTTTCCCCCG